AGTCTCAGGCAAAGTCTGAACAAGAGCAAAATGCAGACAAATTTTTAGTCAGGACCCAACACACATGATCTGGACTCCAGTTGCCAAGGGAGTCCTCCCCAAATGAAACCATTAGAGCCCAGGTTTTATCTAGCTTCGTGCAGTCAGCATTCTCGTCTTCCAAGCACTGACCAGAATCTCCCATCAAGACTGCCTCACAGCACCCAAGGCTGCTTCTTCAGCCAGTATCTCTAAACCTTTCTGTACTCCTCCTGCAAGCCAGTACCAAAGGCTTCTGAACCACACAGCCAGGTAGTTCCACAGGGAAGACCACGCTTTTCTAGAACCAAAATCTGTCTTGACTACTTTCTTATTGATGTGAAAAAATATCTAACATTCACAAATTAAAGGGTGAAAGGTTTATTTCAGCCCAAAGTTTGTAGAGATTTCAGTTCATAACCAGCTGGCTCCAAGGCAGGTTGGTACAGCAGAGCGTCATGGCAGAGGAAAAACAGTCAATGGCAGGGTAGGCAGAAGGCAGTGAGCACCGGCAGCAGAAGCAAACCTTCCTTTCTCTTTTATCCATCCAGGCTACAAGCTTTTTGGTTGGTGCCACACACACCCAGTCTGGGCCTTTCTATTATCCATACCCAGAACTATGCTAAAACACTCAGTGAACTAATTTAGAAGCACACACTCTTAATTCCAGTATTATATACCCTGGATGCAGCCAGTTTCTGAAAGTCCCATCTGTCAGTGCCAAAGGGTTTTTTCAGAGAGCACATCTAGATACAAGGCAAAACAATCACTTTCCAGGATATTTGTTCCCAAATTTTTGTGCATTGATTTTCTTCAGCTCTATTAATAGGTAATATGCAGAGAGAAATGCAGAAGAAAATATATGTCTTGGATGCTATTCATAGAAATAAAAGCTCTTCATTAAAGTGTTTCAATTCTGTTGTACTCATTATCTGTTATAATAATAATATCTAATAGGAAACATCCACAACATCTCTAGAGTTATGGGCATTTTCAGTCAAGTGCCTGATTAGTTGACTCTACTGATACTGTTGGACATAGTTTGGCCTGGCTGCAGGCTGAGTGAGGGTGGACTTATTTGGGATGGGCAGGTTGACTCAGCTCTGTACACAAATCCTCTTGTATCACTTATGGAGCTAGAAGTGTAAAATCTAAATTTTGAGCCAGGGTGTCTGACTGCTGACCCAAGCACTTAACCTATAAAATAAGGCCTCTTTTTGTCACACCAACTGATAGCCACATAGTTCCCATGCTTTTTCACATTTCTGCCTAAACTGATACTTTGTGAAGCAAAAAGACTTTGAGCTGACATGGCTGATTAGGCAGTGAGGTGGCCACAAAGCATCTTCTTCCCAGGTCACAGTGAAGTCCTTCCTGAAGCACCAAACATGAGACTGGTCTATCCACAGAGATTGGGATGAGTGTGGGTCCTGTGCTCCTTAGAATTTAAAATAGAACTGAAATTGTGTGCCCTGGGAGCACCCAATTGTGACCTTTTTTTACATTGGGAAAGTAGGTACTAGTTATCCCCCCAAATTACTTAGAGTTATATAGATGATATAGTGCTGTCAATTTTACATGTGAAGAAAAGGATAACTATGCTATCCTTATATGCTATAGTGTTACTCAGGTTTTTTCAATATAATCAAAAGCAACCATACAGTAATTTTAACTCAAAACAAGGATTTTGTCTTTTATATCTTCTGTTTTTCTTTAATATACACATGCAACCTCTTTGTTAAAAGATGACAGTGACATTAGTAAGTTTTCCTTGAGTGTAACTGTCATAATCTGTTTCTTATGTTTCCTCACATGAGAACGAAAAGCAGTACATGTTAATGTTGAGAATTTCAGAGTCTGGGCTGCGATATCTCCCAATGGTCTCCCATATGCATAAATACTCTACACTTCCGAGTGGGCCATTAAGCAGGTCACAGAAATTGATAGTTATTAAACTGTTTTGTCAATATTAAGGTCCTTCACCAACATGAGTTATTCTTTGGGCTTCCTAACACTTTACTGGTACTGCATAGCCTGAGTTGAAAGATAATACCAAAATATAATCCATGAAAATCTATTTCTTCCCAGACACCTGCCACCTATGATGCCCTGGTACAGATGGAGTATCTGGATATGGTTGTGAATGAAACACTCAGATTATACCCAATTGCTGGAAGACTTGAGAGGGCTTGTAAGAAAGATGTTGAAATCAATAGAGTGGTCATTCCCAAAGGGTCAGTAGTGCTGATACCAACCTATGCCCTTCATCGAGATCCCAAATATTGGAAAGAGCCTGAAGAGTTCCGCCCTGAAAGGTAAAGGGCCCTTGGGAAAATAAATTCTCCCTGATGCAGTCTGTTCTGAGTATGCTATAATGTCTCTTACTGGACAGGAACATCATTTTTGTGTTGAAAGATTAATTTTTTCGCACAGACTAATGTCAACAAGATTGAAAACTCCTGTAGGGGAAAGTGAATAGAAAAGATCTGTAGCTTGCAACTCTCATAACAAAAGCACAATGGATTTTCTATGTCCAACCAACAAAACATTCTTTATTCAATTGCTTGGGGATGAAGGTCTCTGACATTCTTGAAACAGTAAATATTGTGGTATTTACGCTTCATTAACTTTTTTCATGTACTATTATGGAACCAGGTTCAGTAAGAAGAACAAGGACAATATTAATCCTTACATATACATGCCTTTTGGGGCTGGACCCAGGAACTGCATTGGCATGAGGTTTGCTTTCATGACCATGAAACTTGCTATCATCAGAGTCTTGCAAAACTTCTCCTTCCAAACATGTAAGGAAACACAGGTGAGACAAATCTTTCTGTACAAATAATGATTTACCAAAGATTTTTTAATACACCCAAGGTACTATTTAAATAAAAGTATATGCTTGCTCATTCTTTATTCCTTTTTTCTGTGACCAAAAATCTCTTTTGGGCCATCTATACAATTTTAGGGTCCCTTGATTTTGCAGTTTTAAATATGTGACTTTATGAAGACAAAATGTAAAGTATCTTCTAAACTCTCTGCGGGGTGGCATGGTATGATTATATGTGGTCTCTTTGCACTTGAGGAATGCTTAAATTCAACTGTAAGTCATCTGCAGATGGCACATGTTGTGCACAGTTATAAAGTGCAATGCTCATGTTGTCATATTTGAATGGTGCTCTCCTTATCACAGCTTACAGAAGCTCCCTCGTTACAGTGGTCTATTTTCAGGACTCGCACATTTGGATATGCAACTCCTCTCTGGCTGTAGGGTTTCTACATGGCAGAGGAGAATAGAGCTGGTTTTCATGTTATGTGTGGCTTCAGGCAAGCTGTGTAGCTGCTCTGAAAGTGTAGATAAATGGCCTTAACCCTTTGGTTAAGGCATTTGGGCATTCTGGCATACCTGGAATGAGGTAGATACTTGCTGTTAGCTCTCGGGTAATACTTTGCACACTTCATGAGGATTTGCTTTCTCTCCTTACACTGAGATCAGCAGTTACTATGTTGGAGAGTCACAAAAACTGAAGAACATGACAAATGAGAATTGGGTAAAGAATTACTTACAAAATTATAGGTCTCAAAAGTTCCCCATTTATACTATCACTGAAAGCCAAGAGGAGATGTCAGAAAACAAAGCTAAGCACAATTGCCCTGAAGGCCTCTTTCCATCATCAAACTGCATGGTTTCAAATGACAAGAGTGACTAGACTCTAGCAGTGAAGAACTGTCCATATAGTTGAAATGTATAATACCTGCTCAGGCTTCCCTTGTAAGTCTCAATAACACCAAAATTAAATTTTTGTGGTTTTCGAAAAATAGTTTGCCACAATGTCTAAGGATAAGGTGTAAATTTTAAAACTAATGGTATTTACTTTAAGTTATATAAATAAAGTTTAAAACTTAACATGATTTTGTCTTAGATCTGGTACAGAAGAGGTGTTCATGATGTATTTTTTAAATGAACAGATGGATTAGTGTTTTCATTATTCCAAATCTTGACACAGCTTAGAAAATACAAATATAAGTGATTCAAGGTACATTATACTTAAGACAATTTTCGTGTATTTGTAAATCACTCCTATCTTTGCTGTACATTTTCCACTTTGGACTGTTGTTGGTGGTACCATATCGATCATTTTCCCATATGTTTGTTTTACTGTTCCAGATCCCTATGACATTTAACAATCAAGCACTTCTTCAGCCAGAGAAAGATATTCTTCTGAAAGTAGTGTCAAGAGAGGAGACCTTAAGTGGAGCCTAATTTTTCCTATGATCTTCTGCTATGTTCTCTTCTTCATGGAAGCTGTGTCATAGAACACTAGTGATTGATTTGTCAAAAAAAATTAGAAATGAAAAAAATGGACTTAATCTGCACTTGATGAGTGATTGAGATTCTGGACCTTCATTGTGCTTGCTTACTGTGTGTGTAGGGTATTATCATATTAGTGGGAAATAGGTAGACACCCTCCCTGGGACACATGACTACCTGTACCTACCCACATTTAGCATGATAAACACTTCTGATCAGAAATAAACATTCATCACTAATTTAATTGAAAAGTTTTAGTGAAAATAAGAATTTCTTCATGACACTAGGGGTGAAATGTATATCAAATGTTTCCTTTATAATATTTCTTACTAAGAATTTTATTAAGGCAGTGAATTAATATCCATCTACAAAACTATGACATGACTCTCTGCTAATTATGGAGGATCATACAACTGAATCATATAAAACATTTTTTTGTTCATCATAAATGAGTGGATGCATGAGGACTGTATAAAATACAATTTGATTATAAAGAGATAGGCAGAGTTAATGTACTGTGACTTTGCCCATGTTCCTTGGTAGGTATACTCATGTCATTTATACCACATTTGAGGCACATATTTTTTCTAACACTAAACAACCCTTCTGAGTACAATAGTTGTTTTTGGTTTTTTCT